GGCTGCGCTGCGGCCCACGCCGCCCTGTGAGTCGCTGGTGTCGAGGCATCACGGCGCGCTGTTGCGCTGGCTGGAAGAGCGGCTGGGCCGCGGCGAAGAGTCCGTCACCCTGGAGCAGTTCCGGGAGCTGCTGGAGGCTCGCGGCGCCGGCTGCTCCGGCGAGCAGTTCGAGGAGGTCAGGGTGGGCTGGTGACGGCGCGCGGGGCGGGGACAGGGCTGGCGCCTGCCTGGACGAGAAGTGCCGGGCAGGTTCCGGGAATCGGAGCGTCGGGCTGCGGGCACTCACGTGGGGCTCTCGCTTACACCTGTCTCTTGCTAACCTTTCTGAGACGGTTGCACAGACCAGACTAGGCCGCCCGTCCCTGATCTGTAGAGCTGGACCGAGCCCAGTGGCTTTGCGTGTGTAGTACCGTCCTTTGGGCAACTGGCTGACCGACGCTGGGTCAGCGCCCTGACACTGGATCGGCTTAATCAGAGACCGGAGCAGCCCTAGGGTTCAGGGAGCGTCACTGAGAGCCATTTGTTTTACTGGCCCGTGAAGTTGCTGGGCGCACCTTCCTAGTTCCGGGTGAGCTCCCAATGAACGTGGATGGAGCGTCACAGTCCAGAAGAACGCTCCGATAGCCGTTCTCATCTGGCACAAACGCGAATTGCCTTGGCGTCAGTGCTGACTCAGAGCGACCCGCTGTGGGTTTCGGAGACTGTCACTGTGGACGGGAGCAGAGAGCCCAGTCTTTCTCCTGCGGGGCTGCGGGTGGTTTCCAGCCAGCGACCATGGGGGTCGCAGCCCAACGTGTAACCACGACACCACTTTTCCCAAAACATGTTTTTAAGACCCTCCAGAGAACCCTAAGGGTACTTTAGATTTATTTAAACCTCCAGAAAGGAGTCCTGGTGGCGCCCTGCTTAAAGCGCTCAGCCACAAACCCAAATGACAGTGCTTGGAACCCAGAACCCACCAAGCCATTCTTAGATGCATGTGGCAGTCTGTTTCTGTAGAGATTTACAGCCCTGGAAACCAAGGGACAGGTCTACTCTGTCCTGCAGCGTTGCCAGCAGCCCTGGTGGTGTTGCAGATGAGGTGTGTTGGCAGCCCCGAACTGAGGCAAAGAGGTTTCTTGAGATTACTTGTCATTTGAAGGCTTTGGTCTAATCAGAATCACTTTTATTAAATCATTAACAATCGATTGATCTGCCAGCAAATGGTTACATGTGGAAGGGATCATAGACATTGTCTGTTCTGGACAGGTCATTTTAGACTAAGTAGTGACTTACCGGGTATGGAACCCTTGTGGTGTAATGTTTATGCATTTGCTAACTGCAGGTTCAGCAGTTCGAAACCACCAGCTGCTTAGCAGAAGAAAGACAAGGCTTAAAGCCGCTCTTGTAAAAAAAGGGACTTAAAGTCATTCCCGTAAAGAGTGACAATCTCTGAAACACTGGGGCAGTGCTACCCTGTCCTCTAGGGCTGATGTGAGTGGGCTTCATCTTGATGGCCGTGAGTGTGCAGTTTGGTTGAGAGAATTATCGGGTCACTCCAAATCCTTGGCAAAAATGAGACAATTTATTGCCCAATCTCTCTCGTAATATTCTACTACCCGGCCCAGGAAACCCAGTGGGGCAGCTCAGCCCTGTTGCCGAGAGTCACTCTGAGTTAGAATCAACTTGAGGGCACAGAACACAAAGCAGTGCATCTCTTTCTTGGGAATTTTTTTTTTCACTCCATGATATTATAGTAAAAAAGAAAAAAAGCTTGTGAAATTGGTTTAGGCCATATAGAACGTCTTCAGCAGAGATGGGGAGTACATACAGCAGTAAACAGTCAGGCGTGTGTAGTGCTAGTAAAAGACATTGCACACTTTACCACTGGAGGCCAGAATTCAGGTAGTGTAGTTTATGTGTTTTCCTTTGAAAAATATCTTTAGGGCATCTTGGCTCTTATCACTGTTCATTATGTGAATTCATTAATGGTCTCTCATGCTTTCTCCCTCTTTTTTGAATGACAAGAGTACACCTGTGTGCCACCCTACCACCTAGGTGCATCATGAGAGTAGCAAGTGATGGGGCAGAAAGTGGCTTGCAGATTTGCTCAAGGAGTTGGTAGGTTTCAGAATGGTCCACAGGCTAAGGGAGAGGAACAGTGTGAGAGTGACTGATGGGGTAGAGTCACAATGCAGATTACAGGAGGCATGTTACGTAAGGCAAGACATTCTCAAGGTGTGGTCCAGAAATCACTCCTCAAGGGCTATGACATTCTTTTACTCACTGAGCAAATATTTGTTGGGCATATACTCAGGGCACAGACTTAGATGACAGCGGATAAATCAGGCCCTTGCTCTTAAACAGGATGTAGTATGTGAAAGAGACAGGCGTTAATCTAGGAACCACAGGTATGGTGAGTGCTAACCAAGGAAAAGTGTCAGGATTAAATGGCAGGAGAATTTCTCACCTACAGAGTCAAGTGAGTATTTGACTACTAACTGAGAGGGTAGTGGTTCAGCTCATGGAAGAAAGGCCTGGTGTACTACTGAAAGATCACAGCCACCCATAAGCCCTGTGGAGTGCAGCATCACCATGAGTCGGAATCGACCTCGCAACAAATGTTTTTGTGGTTTCAGGAGTCAAAGAAGCCTCAGAAAGTAACATTTTAGCTCAGGTCTGAAGGGTGCAGGGTAGCAGACCAGGAGCAAGAATTGATAGCAGTGCTTCAGACAGAGGGATCCACACAAAGGTCATATCCACAGAGAATGGAGAATCTGGAAAAAGTCAATGTGGTGGCTTAGACAAAACTGTCGAGGCACAGAAAATGCCTCAGTGGTTTCAGCAAAAAGATGTCTTTGTCTTAATGTAAATGTCTGTTAGCTTCACAATCTTCAGGGTTCCTGGGCTTCTGTGTCTTAGGCTCCCGTCCTCCACAGAGAGCTTACATTGAGAGGTCTCCTGACTGCTCCGGCCAGCCCTTTGCCTACCTTCCAACTTTAGGAAAAGGTTGCCCTCTATAAGGGCAGGATTGGACTTACTCACATGGCCATACTTCAGGGGAGACAGGGAAAAATCCTTATCCCATTCAGGATTTAATTACTGGGTAAGGGAAAACAGACTGAAAAACAAAAGCTAGTGCCATCGAGTTGTCTCTGAGTCCTAGTGACCCCATTGAACGGTGTGAAACTGCCCTCTGGGGATTCCAAAGCTGAAACCTGTGGATGCTGACTGCCACATCTTTCTCCTGTGGAGTGGCTGGTGGCTCAAACTGCCAGCTTTTTTGGTTGTCAACTGAGGGCTTTCACCACTGAGCCGCCAGGATTCCACTAAGAGAACACATAATAACAATAACAAAAAGCCTTAACTGCCATAAAGGCGATTCTGACTCCTGAGCAACCCTACAGGACAGGGTAGAACTGCCCTGTAGGTTTTAGAAACTAACTGCATGGGAGCAGACAGCTTCTCCCTACTGTGGAGCAGCTGGTGGTTTTGAGTTGTTGTGATTTGCAGGCCAGTGCGTAACTTACCACACGCCACAATGGCTCTCGTTGGAGAACAGATACCGGGGTTATAATTAGGAGTCTTCGATTCATATGGCCACATCATAGACTGAAAGGAGAGTAAGGGGGAGTACAGTAAGGGCCAGATCATATGAGTCGTTTGCAGCCTGTGCCACGGAGTTTAAAACAGTGGCATTGGAAGCTAAGTACTGTGGTGATTTTGACTGGTAGAGAGTAGGTGGAAAAGAGCCAAGAAGAGCGTGTCAGAGGCTGTCTGATAGTCGAGGTTAAGAGATTCCGTGGCAGTGAGGACAGTATGGAGTGGACACTTTTGAGAGCTACTGAGGAGGTAAACAAGGAGCCCTGGTGGTGTCGTGGTTACAAGTTAGGCTGCTAACCAAAAGGTCAGCAGTCCGAAATCACCAGCCGCTCGACCGGAGAAAGACAAGGCTTTCTATTCCCACAAAGAGTTACAGAAACTCTGGTGCAGTTCTGCCTTATTCTATAGGGTTGCTCTAAGTCAGCATGGCTTTGATGCCAATGAGTTTGGTTTTTGCTTGAACGGGTAGACTTGTCAGTGGTTGGAGACCTTGAATGTGGGTAGAGAATTAGGAGAAACAGAGACGAGCTCTCATCTTGGACTTGGACGCTGGTGTTTGTCATCGAGGAAGGGAGCGTTTCCAGGAAGGACACACAAGGAGAGGACAGATGAGTCTGGTTTTGGTCTAAGGTGCCTGTGAAAGCGCTAAGTAAAGAGATTTTACTGACAGGCTCATGGGTGTGGAGTCTAGGAGAAAGAAGACAAGGAGATCTAGAGTTGCTTAGAGTGCTTAATAAACAGATTGGCACCTCTGAGTTTGAGAAAATAGCTGCCTTATTTCCCCTTACTCTGTTGAGTTTGTTTTTTGTTTTGGGCCAAGTATGAAAAGATTGTGAGCATTTAAGTCCTTCCGAGGTGGTACCTAGCTCTGTATATTCAGCACTGTTGGATCCCGAGGCTCTCCAGTCACCGTTACAGGGAGATACACAGGGAGAAACTAATGTGAATGGCTATGCCTTCCCCTTAAGAAACACGAAGGGGTGGTAGTCATATATATCTCTGGCAGAAGTAAACATTAGGGAGTCTTAAGTTCAGCAATAAGGATTGGTATTATAAGATACTTTTTATCAGAATCTCGGGGAGAGTCTAGATCTATGTCCCAGGGTATTAAAGAGCCATACACAAGAGTTCACAAAAGATGTTCTGGGAAGCCTTCTTTCATATCAGTGTAATGATCCCACCGCTGTCTTCACAATGTGTCTAAACACATGATGCCTGCTCACCACCACCACCCATTCGAAGCAGGTGGTAGGACAAGGGCCATGAACGCGATGTGGAAGCCGAGGGCTCGGACAGGAGTAGTAACGTACCTTCCGTAGGATTAGAAACTAAGGTGACCCAGGTGTGGGTCTTCTCCTGCCAGATCCCCTCTCTTGCTTTCCATTAGGGAACTGATTTTCTGTCAACGTTGTTCTTTCCTTTCAAGAATGCACTATTAACTCCTTAGTCTTTCTCTTGTTGTGAAGTGAGGCCTAGCATGGCAGTCCAAGAAAGAGAAGAAGCAGTCTGCATTATTTTTTTTAAAGCCTAATTATTAGGAGCTCCTGGGTGACACTGGCAGTTAAGCACTTGGCTGCTACCTGAAAGGTTGGT